TATATATATATATATATATAAATACACACACATACAGTATATATTTTGAAAATATTTACATGTATACATTTATATTCAGATAATTTATATTATATATAAAATTACATATATTTAAAATATAAACATAACATATAGTTTTCTTAAAAATCTACATGCATGTGTGTTTATTTATTTAAATATACATAATAAATATACAGAGTATACACACTTATATTATGTAAACAAAAACTTTTATTTTGGATGCGACTAATTTGTACCAATTATTTAAATCAAATAATAAATTAACTATAATTATTTGAAATATAGATCAATATCTAAAATTACAAAGTAAAAGTATGAAATTTGTATTTTTTTAAATTATTAATATAAAAATTAATTAACTATTATTAATAAAACATTATTATCCAACAATATATTATACTTTATTACTAATAATTATTAAAATATGAATACATTTTAAATTAATATTTAAGTATAATTCATTCATAATTAATTGCAATAATGTAATAATCAATACTTTTTAAATTATAATTAACACTATTAATCTCTTCAGTATTACTGTATAAAGGCACATTGAAGATGAGTTAGTCTCACAGTTGTAGATACAGTATTTATAAATGGTTAGCAGCGGTGTGTAACTTCTCTGCTGTTGTCATAGAGATGCTCCTCAAGAAAAGCCAGAGTTTTCTGCCAGGACTCCTCCTGAGCTCGACTGTGAGGAACCGTCTCTCCTCCCCAAAGCACCACCACTACAATACAAAGCAATGTCATTTCAACCTCCTGAAATACAACACATGTGCCAACAACAGCACATTCATCTATCCGTCTGTGTATATGACATCTCACTTCCCATTTAAATGGGAAGTGTTACTCTACACTTTGAGCATCAGGAAAGCACAAAATAATAATATATCGAAATATCAAAATTGTACATTTAAAATAAAAAATAAAATGTTGTTTATACTATTATCATTTTTTGAAAAACAAATACTATTATTTATATAATATTTATCATATTAATTATTAAAATGTATTAAATGAATTTAAAATGCTTTATTTGATATAAGACAAACTATAACTTCTTATTCCAAATAAACCAAAATGTATTTATTTATTTACTTGCTGCATTTCCACTTGTGCTAGTGAGACTTGTGAGACTTGTGCTAGTTGTCACTCTCTAGTGAATTTCTCTGGGTATATTTATTTTTCAAATCCAATTTCTGTATAAACTTAAAATCTGGACTACATGAGCTACTGAATTAAATTTAAAAAGTAAATTATGAAATGCAAATATTGTAATTCTGTATAAATGTAAAACATTTAAAATGTGGCAATCGGTTGCAATAAAAACATACTGTTCACACTTTTGCGAAAAATAAATGTTTAAAGAACGTTGTTTTATAATTCTTTTCAACAACTAATTTTCTAGTTTTATAACTCTATTCAACAACTGTTTATATAACTCTGATTGTATTCGTCTGAAAGAACTTACATAAAGAAAGTAATTTACACCTAGGATGGCTTGAGGGCGAGCAAATCATGTTTTTTGTTTTTTTTTTTCATTTTTGGGTGAACTTTAAAATTCATACTTTCTTTATATAACTCTGATTGTATTCGTCTGAAAGAACTTACATAAAGAAAGTAATTTACACCTAGGATGGCTTGAGGGCGAGCAAATCATGTTTTTTGTTTTTTTTTTTCATTTTTGGGTGAACTTTAAAATTCATACTTTCTTATATTTACTTTTTGTCATTTTGTGAGAAGTACAGCTATTAAAGGTCTACTGCTTTTACAATATATATATATATATATATATATATATAGGTGCATCTCAATCAATCAGAATATCGTGAAAAAGTTCATTTTTTTGTAACTTATTTCAAAAAGTTAAACTTTCATATATTCTAGATCCATTACATGTAAAGTAAAACATTTCAGAAGCTGTTTTATTTTTATTTTGATGATTAGAGCTTACAGCTCATGAAAGTCAAAAATCCAGTATCACAAAATATTAGAATATTTACATTTGAGTTTCATTAAATGACCATCTCTACAGTATAAATTCCGGGTATCTCTTGTTCTTTGAAACCACAATAATGGGGGAGACTGCTGACTTGGAAATGGTCCAGAAGGCAATCATTGACACCCTCCACAAAGAGGATAAGTCACAGAAGGTCTTTACTGAAAGGGGTGGCTGTTCACAGAGTGCTGTATCAAAGCATATTAAATGCAAAGTTGACTGGAAGGAAGAAAATGGGTAGGAAAAGGTGCACAAGCAACAGGGATGACCGCAAGCTTGAGAATACTGTCAAGCAAAGCCGATTCAAACACTTGGGAGAGCTTCATAAGGAGTGGACTGCAGCTGGAGTCAGTGCATCAAGAGTCATCACGCTCAGACATCTTCAGGAAAAGGGCTACCAAACCACTTCTGAAACAGAAACATCGCCAGAACCATCTTACCTGGGCTAAGGAGAAAAAGAGCTGGACTGTTGCTCAGTGCTCCAAAGTCCTCTTTCCAGATAAAAGTAAATTTTGCATTTCATTTGGAAATCAAGGTCTGGAGTCTGGAGGAAGACTGGAGAGGCACAGAATCCAAGCTGCTTGAAGTCCAGTGTGAAGTTTCCAAAGTCAGTGATGATTGTACCCATAATTTTAACGTAACAAGGGCTAGCCAGTTCAAATACAGTGAAACAACTAGCTTGATTACACATGTATTAGACTTTCACCTTTGGTCTTTGCCTCCAGTAGCTTGAAGTCACTGAATCGGACGTGAGGGCTGTAGGGCGGCTCAATAAGATGACCCGTTCCAGGATACAATAGAACCGTTAGGAGGTGACTGTTCCCAGCCTTCTCCATCATCTTCTTCATCTGTCGAGCAGGAAATGAGATCGGCTCAATCACTGGCCTGAGATGAAACATTTGAATGTATTAAAGGGATTGACTCACATCCGCTGCAGATTCTGAAGCCGGCCAGTTTTGATCGTCCTCTCCAACGATTAATAAAACAGGACATTTGATCTCACCCATCTGGTAAAAACATGAATTGCAAGCGCATGACTCTTTGTAGTACAAAACTGAATATTATATACCGATTACAAAGTAAATGCATCATTTTCATACCTTAACTTTCTTGGAAGGGTCATCTGGTACTGGCAGCAACAGATCCCGCCAAATTATTCTCATTTTTTCATCATAGCGGATTTTGTCTACATTCCTTGGTGTTGACAGAATGACAGACATTACTAGTATGTAGTTTGTATAATGTAATGCATCTTAATAATGCCTGTTGTGTGAAAACGGTGTTTCTTACTGTTGTAGTGCTGCATAGACATCCGCCAAAGATCCTTTGAGCGGCATGATGTGACACCCGCTCGCACAAACCACACACCTGGGCTGCAAAGTTGCCATCAAAGAACAGAAAAATACATTGTATCACTGAATCTGCATCGAATCTCCACTGTATTGATGTAAATGAGAACTTATGAGGTTTTTACCTCTACAATTTCTGAGTATGCGGTCAAACCCAGCGTTACAGACACACCGAATGCCATCCCCATCACTGCCACTCTGTCAGGACGAACTTTGGGGTGTTGTTGTAGAAATGTGAATGCAGTCTGAAAAACAAAAATATATTTGATGTGCTTTAAATACTTTTAAGGTATATATTAGGGTATATACCTTATTTTCCCTCTCCAATGTGAGAATCAAAATGTATGAAATATTGAAAAATACATTTTAAATTAATAAACTAATTCAATTCAAAATGTATTTAATTCATTTCAAATTTAATTAAATATTATAATTTAATTGACATATAACTGAATTATTTTAGAATCACTTCAGCGTTAACAAACATTAAATAATGTCAGATTAGTTCATGCATACACAAATAGGTAGTAGAAATGTCATTTAATTTTAATAAATATATTTTCATATACACTACCAGCCAAAAGTTTAGAATAAGATTTTGTAATGTTTTTTAGAAAAAAGTCTCTTATGCTTGCCAAGGCTGCATTTATTTGATCAAGAACACAGTAAAACATTAATATTGTAAAATACATTTGCAATTTAGTTTTCTGTGATGATATATTTTAAAATATAATTTATTCCTGTGATGCAAAGCTGAATTTTCAGCATCATTACTCCAGTCTTCAGTGTCACATGAACCTTCAGAAATCATTCTAATATACTGATTTGCTGCTCAATTATCAATTATCATTGGTGCTCAATTATTAATAATAATAAACAGCTTTTGCTGCTTAATATTTTTGTGAAACCTGTTTTGGTTTTTTTTGCTTGTTTTTTGGTGAATAGGAAAAAGGTAGTGCTTTTGAAAGGTAGTGCATTACAGTCAGGGCCGTTTCTAGGCATAGGCGAGCTAGGCTGTCGCCTAGGGCGCCACCAGCTGAAGGGGTGCCATTGAGCGCACGTACTCGCACTTTTAGCAGGGTTGTGATAAAGAGTGGCACGGTCACCCTGAAATATGACTGCCGCCCCCACTGGATCCCCTAACATTATTGGGCTAGAGTACTGTCAATCTGACGATGCCTGTATGCCACTATTGGCTAGAAACGGCCCTGATTACAGTTTCCACAAAAATATGAAGCAGCACAACTATTGATAATAATAATGTTTCTTGAGCAGCAAATCAGCCTATCGGAATGATTTCTGAAGGATCATGTGAAACTGAAGACTAAAGTACTGATGCTGAAAATTCAGCTTTGCATCACATGAATAAATTACATTTTAACATATATTAAAACTGAAAACAATTCTTTTAAATTATAACCAAATTAAAATTTTTACTGATTATGCTCTATTTTTGATCAAATTAACGCAGTCTTGGTAAGTATAAGAGACTCAAAACAATAAAATATCTTAATATATATTCACATATAAATATACATGAATTACTTACCTATCCGTTAATCAGAATTATATTTTTAGTTGTTGTGTAGCACACATGTACCTCAAAGTAGGTGTTGTCCACGTGATGGAGGTTTCCTTCAGCAGTCAGCATCCCGATGTACTCCAGAGCCAGCGAGACATAGCCGTGGGACGCCAGGAGCGCGGAGCGATACTCAACACGACCCCCCTGCCCTCCCCAGAGGTCCAGCACAGCAGGAAAGGGCCCAGAACCTGCATTACAAAACCACACACATATAAACGGAGAGTCCCTCAAGTCTCTGAAGAAGACAGAATGTACAATGATTTACATTCATCTAAATGTACAAGGTCAAATAAACGCTTCTCTTGTGGCACAATAAAAATACATATTTCGTGTTGTCTCTGAATGTTTTGAATTGAATCCTTCCCTTTTGTTCATTTTAATGCATCACTGCAGAATAAAAGTATTCATTTCTTTAAAAAATTACAGTATCATTTATATTATAATTAAATATATGTTAATTAATACATTTATTAAACTTGCATATTATGTAATTTATTATTATATTTATGTTATTAGATTAAATATAATTCAAAATTATTGCAAATACTATACTAGTGATACATGGGACTGCATCTAATCACTAATCCATACCTGGAGGAATGAAGAGTGTCCCCTTTATCTCACCCTCTGTCACTTCAACACTCTGGACTTCAGGGGCCAAATACCAGCGTTCAGCAGTAGCTGATGTGAGGGGTATGTGATGCTTAAAGCCCCTAGCAAGGTGTCCTTCATACACAGAAAACGTCACTTTAACTGGTGTATGGACATTGTTCTTCCGAAATCTGTCAATTCAAATTAGAATTATCTGTCAGTTCAGTGCATGACGGTAAAAGATTTTCCCATGCATTTTTCACTTCAGTTTCAAGTTAGACACAAATTCACCACATTGGCATGCTACTTATTAAAAAGATAAAAATACTACTAGACTGTGACTGTGTGCTTAACAGCTTTAATTAGGGAAAGAATTACAATTTTATGAAGCATTGTAAAAAACAATTTAATTAAAAACGATGGAGAAATCTAAAACTATCAATTTAAAGTTGTTAATTATAGGAACAACATATTTTAAGTTTATTGCCAAATCTGAATATACATACAAATATTTAAGTATTTTTGAGACCATGAGAAGACTCTATTATGTCATTAGCGGTGCTTCATGGAATAGGCGGACCTCGGTGCTGTTTGGTGCATTTACTCATGGTGGCTCTCTGATTGGTAGAATTTTCTTTAAGCATCATGGGTAATGTAGTTTTAGGGTAATGTAACCCTAAACCCAGGGATTCCGCTGTTAAACGGCTATTTACAACATAAGTTGAAAAATTGCGATCTGAAATATTGCAAACAACGAAAGCATATTAAAGAATTAGTTTACCCAAAAATGAAAATTCTGTCATTAATTACTCACCCTCATGTCATTCCAAACCCGTAAGACCATAGTTCATCTTTGGAATACAAATTACGTATTTTTTATGAAATCCGAGAGCTTTCTGACCCTGCATAGACAGCAAGGGTACTACCACGGTCAAGGCCCAGAAACATAGTAAGGACATCGTTAAAATGGTCCATGCGACATCAGTGGTTCAACTGTACTTTTATGAAGCTACGAGAATACTTTTTGAGCGCAAAGAAAACTAAAATAACAACTTTATTCAGCAATTCTTCTTCTCCGCTTCACTCTTAGGGTGCCATTTAGGAGAGTACCACGACGCATGCGCACGCTCTCCTCTGAATGTAAACAAGGCACAGCGCCTGCGTGTTCTGTGTCAGCAGCATCAGGTGCATGCATTGTTTACGTGCAGAAAAAGGACGTGCATGCATCGTGATACTCTCCAAAATGGCACCCTAAGGGTGACGCATCAGAGAGCTCTCGTATTTCATCAAAAATATCTTAATTTGTGTTCCGAGCGTTTGGAATGACATGAGGGTGAGTAATTAATTATATAATTTTCTTTTTTGGGTGAACTAACCCTTTAACAATTTCCCTAAGAAGAAAATGAATGGTATTTTACCTCTGGAACCCGTCTATTGCACTATATTGACAATGGGCCTTTTAATCCTATGTCATTTTTTTTTTTTTTTTAATGTTAGCACCTTTATGATAAAATTACTATTTCGATTTACAAAGAAAAATAACTGTATACACTTTTGGTATGACGTATAGATAGTAAATGAAACCAGTTTAATTTAAAGTGAACTGTCCCTTTAAATTAGAAGTTCATGCACAGTTGTTTATCGCTCGCTTTAATTACTTACCGGCGACCTGGTTTACTTTCAGGAACAGGTCTCATACTCCACAGCAGACCCATGCCTTCAACTCCCTCAAATGTCCCGCCAAGACTTTTATCTCTGGAAACTGTGTATTAATAATCCAGTAAGTCCTTTTAGAATCAAAACTGTGACTGTGTGATGGTTTAAGCTGTAGTAGGCCTAGTGTACCTTTAACAGTCCCTGAGGAGTCGCTGGTGTAGCGGCCGAACGACTCCCAATCGTCTCCATCTTCAGAGCGAATCAGTGCGTGAAGAGTGATCTTATAATCGGCAGGTAAGTGCTTAACTTCAACCTCCGTTTTTTCATCAACCAAGCAGCTTGAAGGATGAACATAAAGTACAGGACCGTGCTCTGCCATGTTATACCTCACAAATGGACACCAGAGTCGCTTGGAAAGTCTGAATGAATCCAAACTGTGGCGAAGGCTTTTATAAAACGTTTAAGCTGGTCATTGTCCTACAGGACGGTGGTTCACGCAGACAGCTCCTTATTTGGACCTGAAGTTCATAGATAAACAAGCCCATAAAAACGTTACAGGTTATTGAAACTGATGATAAAAGTCTTATGTAGATAGTTTGACCAAAGTGACAGGATTTCCTGCCATAAAATGTCATAAAACTTGACTAATTTTAGAACACTGAAATTAGCAAAATAATCAGGTCTGTAGAACAACTGGGAATGCTGTAGTCTTGTTATGAGGGAATTGTTGTTTGTTTACCTATTAATTATTTACTATCGTTTAAAGCAAATAAATAATGCAATCAAATCTTGATATTATTGATATGAATATCATTATGGTGGTTTTTGTCCTTATAACAGCTGTTCTTTTTGTTATATAGTGATACATATTGTTGCAATTTGTGATAGTTGATTAGAAAAACACATTTTAATAGAAATAACGTATAATCATAAAACTTGGATTGATATTCTGCTCATTTATAAACGTAAATGCAAACTATCACTGCTTATTTCTATATGAATATAGAAAGTATGTAATATATACATTTTAATTAAAAAAAAATATTGATATTTATCTTGCTGAGGTTGATTTATGCACTAATTTCCAGTTGAAATGCTGTTGTTTCACTGGAAGATCAAGCTAGAGTATGACATTTTAATAAAAAATTAGGAGGTCGAAAATAAATATGCAACACAATGAAACATTCGTGGATAACAAATAATTAACATGCATTTAGAAAATCGAGTCAATTTCCATTTCATGCCAAGTTTCATCCTTGCACACAAATACAGAGCACCAAATTTTATGGTATTTATGGAAGATTTTATTTAATGACAAAAAAAACCCATAACAATGATTGTCTGAACATCAAACTTTAGCTTTTAGCTATCAATATTTATGGGGGTGAACACATTTTATTAACACAGCAGAGGTGATATATTGTAATGTGTGCCCTAAACTAGGCCTACTCTTCAAACAGCTGATAGCACCGCATTCAATGTACATGTCTAAAAATAAAAGACAAACATAAGTTAAAAGTAAACCACACTTTCAACTAGGTAGTTAAAATATTGAATATGTAGTGGTAAATCTGCCTTCGTTGTAACATCATAGCAACGTTTTACTTCAGAAAATGATTCATGGTGCGCCTCCGGCGAATACGAGCTCCAGGGCCGCTTGGATGTCTCCGCCGGTGGCCTGCAGGGCTCTCAGGATGAGCTCCTCATTACGGATGCCCATGTCCCGCAGCTGCTGGAGCTGCGACTGCCACTGATTCTACACATTATCAAACAGAGTCACTCCAGAATCAGTAATGCCACTTTAACAAAGAAAAATTATATTGTGATCAGACTTCACTGCATATAAAAAGGAACAGGATGCATGCAACTCAAGCTGTGCTAACAGTAATAGGAAGAATGCATGCATTTTTCTGCGACATCTCTATTTGAAGGGCTGATGATGGACTCTATAAAGATGAATCTGGTGTAAAATGTCACTGGATGTCCGGTGGTTACTCACATGTAAGCTGGACATGCTGGACACCTGCAGGGCCTGCTGCAGTGCCTGGTTAAACAGGTCGTTGGTTATAGGAGTGCCTGCAGGGATTGGGGACACTCCTGAAGAGGGACCCTGTCACAGACGTATTCGGTTTTTAAATTAGTTTATGCAAATCTAAAACATTATAGACGCATTGATGGTTACATTCCAGCTGATAACAATTATTATCATTACTGTCTGTTAACTAGTTCTGATATTAAGGGGTCACAACATCGTTTTCAACTAAAAACTGAAAACTCTGTACGCGTTTTGGCCGCTCATTTACAAGAAAACAGAGTTTTGGCGGGCTGAAAATGCAAACTTTGGAAAACGGGTTTCAAAGTGTGAGTTTTTGAAAACGATGTAGTCTCAATGTAAACTACAAAAACACACATTTGTGAAAACGTTGCGCTTGTGTATTATATGTGTGCATAGATATGTGCGCATGTGCGTAGTGTTTCTTTACAAAGTGACATTGCCATCTACTGGCCTGGCATGAATAATACAGCATTTTTTGTCGTTTTCACAGATCCGTGTGAACTGGGATCGTTCTGATGTTTTGTCTGTACACAAAGCTTTTTCAAAACCAAAGGAAACACATTTCTGTTTTTAGTGTATTGTTGTCATGTAAATGAACCCTAAAGTTTTATACTGCTTTAATTAAAATAAAAATAAAACGCTAAAAACTAAAACCTATCATTTATAAATTAAAGTGAATTTAGGCATCGCAAAATTATAAAATACTGCATGAACAATTCATATTTATTTTGTGATCTGCTAAAGATTACATGTAACAGTGTTATGAAATGATTACATTATTTCAGCATTGATAATAATAAGACATTTTTCTTGAGCACCAAATCAGCATATTAGAATGAAGGCTGGAATAATGGCTGCTGAAAATTCAGCTTCACCATCGCAGGAATGAATGATTAAATTGTTAAAATTATTTAAAAAGTAAACAAATAGAAAAAAGTTCATTTAAATTGTTATAATATTACTAAAATTATAACAGATATAACAAAAATTTGATCAAATGCACCCTTGGTGTGCAAAGAGACTTTTTCAAAAACATAAAAATAAAATCTTACAACACCAAATGTTTGAATGGTTGTATACTTTTTGCCACATCTGCCAGTGACTGATAACCAGACATAAATATTTTGTACTGGCCATGAAAAACAGTCTTTGCATTTTGATAACTGCGCCAAATAATTTTGCATTTTCCTGCACTGTTATAATTAATTTTAAAAGTTTTTGGTCAATTGGCGAACAGTGTTGGGGGTAGTGCATTACAAGTAATGCGAGTTACGTAATCAGATTACTATTTTCAAGTAACTAGTAAAGTAAGGCATTACTTTTAAATATCCAAGAAAATATCTGAGTTACTTTTTCAAATAAGTAAAGAAAGTTACTTTTTTCTCATTAATTCACTAGCTATGTTTCCATCCAAAGATGCAAATTTAATGCGCAAAACTGGAATATCGCATAAAAAATTGCGAATAAAGCACCGTTTCCATCCAACGATTCAAAGAGAACAAAATCGTCACTTCCTAATAAACTGGCACTAAATATCTCTAAGAAAACTAGGAGAAACCACTGAATATAAAAATTTTCATATATAATTAATTACTTGCGCCTCAGAGCGAGCAGATGTAACACAGTAAATGCAGTTATTGCTTTCAGAGGTGGATGCCTGCTGTTTGGGAACGCAGTCGTGTAAGACAATTATACAGAAATACTTTGATGACAGACATTCCTCAGGCATTTCAGAACGACCAAAACAACATACAGATGCTGTGAACAAGATCGGTCCGCTGGTTAGTCAAGTTATCCCGTCTCATAGCGCAAAGTCACATGACTTTTTCAATGCGAATGGTGGAATTTATTCGGTAAATGTTTTTCCATCGTAGCTTTTTTCTTATCAGATAAAAAGTTTTTCTACTCAATTGTGCGCATAAGTTTTTAATGCGCATTTTTAGAATGTATGTGCATCTTGGTGTTTGCATCCAGCATTTTTTTATGTGATATTCCAAAATGCGCATAAAAATAGGTGGATGGAAACATAGTCACCGACACCTCTTCTGTTTGAGAGAAATTGGGGGTGAGGTGCAAAGGCACTTCTATCAGCCCTAATTTCTATTTTGATGTGAAAGGGCCTTTACAGTTGCCAAAAATATAACTTTATTTTTTTTTTGTTATTAAAAACCCCAGCCCATTTGACAAAAAGTAACACAAAAGTAATGTAATGCATTACTTTCCATAAAAAGTAACTAGATAACGCAATTAGTTACTTTTTTATGCAGAAACGCAATATTGTAACGCATTACTATTAAATTCCAAATCTGAATATACATACAAATATTTAAGTATTTTTGAGACCATGAGAAGACTCTATTATGTCATTAGCGGTGCTTCATGGAATAGGCGGACCTCGGTGCTGTTTGGTGCATTTACTCATGGTGGCTCTCTGATTGGTAGAATTTTCTTTAAGCATCATGGGTAATGTAGTTTTAGGGTAATGTAACCCTAAACCCAGGGATTCCGCTGTTAAACGGCTATTTACAACATAAGTTGAAAAATTGCGATCTGAAATATTGCAAACAACGAAAGCATATTAAAGAATTAGTTTACCCAAAAATGAAAATTCTGTCATTAATTACTCACCCTCATGTCATTCCAAACCCGTAAGACCATAGTTCATCTTTGGAATACAAATTACGTATTTTTTATGAAATCCGAGAGCTTTCTGACCCTGCATAGACAGCAAGGGTACTACCACGGTCAAGGCCCAGAAACATAGTAAGGACATCGTTAAAATGGTCCATGCGACATCAGTGGTTCAACTGTACTTTTATGAAGCTACGAGAATACTTTTTGAGCGCAAAGAAAACTAAAATAACAACTTTATTCAGCAATTCTTCTTCTCCGCTTCACTCTTAGGGTGCCATTTAGGAGAGTACCACGACGCATGCGCACGCTCTCCTCTGAATGTAAACAAGGCACAGCGCCTGCGTGTTCTGTGTCAGCAGCATCAGGTGCATGCATTGTTTACGTGCAGAAAAAGGACGTGCATGCATCGTGATACTCTCCAAAATGGCACCCTAAGGGTGACGCATCAGAGAGCTCTCGTATTTCATCAAAAATATCTTAATTTGTGTTCCGAGCGTTTGGAATGACATGAGGGTGAGTAATTAATTATATAATTTTCTTTTTTGGGTGAACTAACCCTTTAACAATTTCCCTAAGAAGAAAATGAATGGTATTTTACCTCTGGAACCCGTCTATTGCACTATATTGACAATGGGCCTTTTAATCCTATGTCATTTTTTTTTTTTTTTTAATGTTAGCACCTTTATGATAAAATTACTATTTCGATTTACAAAGAAAAATAACTGTATACACTTTTGGTATGACGTATAGATAGTAAATGAACCCAGTTTAATTTAAAGTGAACTGTCCCTTTAAATTAGAAGTTCATGCACAGTTGTTTATCGCTCGCTTTAATTACTTACCGGCGACCTGGTTTACTTTCAGGAACAGGTCTCATACTCCACAGCAGACCCATGCCTTCAACTCCCTCACATGTCCCGCCAAGACTTTTATCTCTGGAAACTGTGTATTAATAATCCAGTAAGTCCTTTTAGAATCAAAACTGTGACTGTGTGATGGTTTAAGCTGTAGTAGGCCTAGTGTACCTTTAACAGTCCCTGAGGAGTCGCTGGTGTAGCGGCCGAACGACTCCCAATCGTCTCCATCTTCAGAGCGAATCAGTGCGTGAAGAGTGATCTTATAATCGGCAGGTAAGTGCTTAACTTCAACCTCCGTTTTTTCATCAACCAAGCAGCTTGAAGGATGAACATAAAGTACAGGACCGTGCTCTGCCATGTTATACCTCACAAATGGACACCAGAGTCGCTTGGAAAGTCTGAATGAATCCAAACTGTGGCGAAGGCTTTTATAAAACGTTTAAGCTGGTCATTGTCCTACAGGACGGTGGTTCACGCAGACAGCTCCTTATTTGGACCTGAAGTTCATAGATAAACAAGCCCATAAAAACGTTACAGGTTATTGAAACTGATGATAAAAGTCTTATGTAGATAGTTTGACCAAAGTGACAGGATTTCCTGCCATAAAATGTCATAAAACTTGACTAATTTTAGAACACTGAAATTAGCAAAATAATCAGGTCTGTAGAACAACTGGGAATGCTGTAGTCTTGTTATGAGGGAATTGTTGTTTGTTTACCTATTAATTATTTACTATCGTTTAAAGCAAATAAATAATGCAATCAAATCTTGATATTATTGATATGAATATCATTATGGTGGTTTTTGTCCTTATAACAGCTGTTCTTTTTGTTATATAGTGATACATATTGTTGCAATTTGTGATAGTTGATTAGAAAAACACATTTTAATAGAAATAACGTATAATCATAAAACTTGGATTGATATTCTGCTCATTTATAAACGTAAATGCAAACTATCACTGCTTATTTCTATATGAATATAGAAAGTATGTAATATATACATTTTAATTAAAAAAAAATATTGATATTTATCTTGCTGAGGTTGATTTATGCACTAATTTCCAGTTGAAATGCTGTTGTTTCACTGGAAGATCAAGCTAGAGTATGACATTTTAATAAAAAATTAGGAGGTCGAAAATAAATATGCAACACAATGAAACATTCGTGGATAACAAATAATTAACATGCATTTAGAAAATCGAGTCAATTTCCATTTCATGCCAAGTTTCATCCTTGCACACAAATACAGAGCACCAAATTTTATGGTATTTATGGAAGATTTTATTTAATGACAAAAAAAACCCATAACAATGATTGTCTGAACATCAAACTTTAGCTTTTAGCTATCAATATTTATGGGGGTGAACACATTTTATTAACACAGCAGAGGTGATATATTGTAATGTGTGCCCTAAACTAGGCCTACTCTTCAAACAGCTGATAGCACCGCATTCAATGTACATGTCTAAAAATAAAAGACAAACATAAGTTAAAAGTAAACCACACTTTCAACTAGGTAGTTAAAATATTGAATATGTAGTGGTAAATCTGCCTTCGTTGTAACATCATAGCAACGTTTTACTTCAGAAAATGATTCATGGTGCGCCTCCGGCGAATACGAGCTCCAGGGCCGCTTGGATGTCTCCGCCGGTGGCCTGCAGGGCTCTCAGGATGAGCTCCTCATTACGGATGCCCATGTCCCGCAGCTGCTGGAGCTGCGACTGCCACTGATTCTACACATTATCAAACAGAGTCACTCCAGAATCAGTAATGCCACTTTAACAAAGAAAAATTATATTGTGATCAGACTTCACTGCATATAAAAAGGAACAGGATGCATGCAACTCAAGCTGTGCTAACAGTAATAGGAAGAATGCATGCATTTTTCTGCGACATCTCTATTTGAAGGGCTGATGATGGACTCTATAAAGATGAATCTGGTGTAAAATGTCACTGGATGTCCGGTGGTTACTCACATGTAAGCTGGACATGCTGGACACCTGCAGGGCCTGCTGCAGTGCCTGGTTAAACAGGTCGTTGGTTATAGGAGTGCCTGCAGGGATTGGGGACACTCCTGAAGAGGGACCCTGTCACAGACGTATTCGGTTTTTAAATTAGTTTATGCAAATCTAAAACATTATAGACGCATTGATGGTTACATTCCAGCTGATAACAATTATTATCATTACTGTCTGTTAACTAGTTCTGATATTAAGGGGTCACAACATCGTTTTCAACTAAAAACTGAAAACTCTGTACGCGTTTTGGCCGCTCATTTACAAGAAAACAGAGTTTTGGCGGGCTGAAAATGCAAACTTTGGAAAACGGGTTTCAAAGTGTGAGTTTTTGAAAACGATGTAGTCTCAATGTAAACTACAAAAACACACATTTGTGAAAACGTTGCGCTTGTGTATTATATGTGTGCATAGATATGTGCGCATGTGCGTAGTGGTTCTTTACAAAGTGACATTGCCATCTACTGGCCTGGCATGAATAATACAGCATTTTTTGTCGTTTTCACAGATCCGTGTGAACTGGGATCGTTCTGATGTTTTGTCTGTACACAAAGCTTTTTCAAAACCAAAGGAAACACATTTCTGTTTTTAGTGTATTGTTGTCATGTAAATGAACCCTAAAGTTTTATACTGCTTTAATTAAAATAAAAATAAAACGCTAAAAACTAAAACCTATCATTTATAAATTAAAGTGAATTTAGGCATCGCAAAATTATAAAATACTGCATGAACAATTCATATTTATTTTGTGATCTGCTAAAGATTACATGTAACAGTGTTATGAAATGATTACATTATTTCAGCATTGATAATAATAAGACATTTTTCTTGAGCACCAAATCAGCATATTAGAATGAAGGCTGGAATAATGGCTGCTGAAAATTCAGCTTCACCATCGCAGGAATGAATGATTAAATTGTTAAAATTATTTAAAAAGTAAACAAATAGAAAAAAGTTCATTTAAATTGTTATAATATTACTAAAATTATAACAGATATAACAAAAATTTGATCAAATGCACCCTTGGTGTGCAAAGAGACTTTTTCAAAAACATAAAAATAAAATCTTACAACACCAAATGTTTGAATGGTTGTATACTTTTTGCCACATCTGCCAGTGACTGATAACCAGACATAAATATTTTGTACTGGCCATGAAAAACAGTCTTTGCATTTTGATAACTGCGCCAAATAATTTTGCATTTTCCTGCACTGTTATAATTAATTTTAAAAGTTTTTGGTCAATTGGCGAACAGTGTTGGGGGTAGTGCATTACAAGTAATGCGAGTTACGTAATCAGATTACTATTTTCAAGTAACTAGTAAAGTAAGGCATTACTTTTAAATATCCAAGAAAATATCTGAGTTACTTTTTCAAATAAGTAAAGAAAGTTACTTTTTTCTCATTAATTCACTAGCTATGTTTCCATCCAAAGATGCAAATTTAATGCGCAAAACTGGAATATCGCATAAAAAATTGCGAATAAAGCACCGTTTCCATCCAACGATTCAAAGAGAACAAAATCGTCACTTCCTAATAAACTGGCACTAAATATCTCTAAGAAAACTAGGAGAAACCACTGAATATAAAAATTTTCATATATAATTAATTACTTGCGCCTCAGAGCGAGCAGATGTAACACAGTAAATGCAGTTATTGCTTTCAGAGGTGGATGCCTGCTGTTTGGGAACGCAGTCGTGTAAGACAATTATACAGAAATACTTTGATGACAGACATTCCTCAGGCATTTCAGAACGACCAAAACAACATACAGATGCTGTGAACAAGATCGGTCCGCTGGTTAGTCAAGTTATCCCGTCTCATAGCGCAAAGTCACATGACTTTTTCAATGCGAATGGTGGAATTTATTCGGTAAATGTTTTTCCATCGTAGCTTTTTTCTTATCAGATAAAAAGTTTTTCTACTCAATTGTGCGCATAAGTTTTTAATGCGCATTTTTAGAATGTATGTGCATCTTGGTGTTTGCATCCAGCATTTTTTTATGTGATATTCCAAAATGCGCATAAAAATAGGTGGATGGAAACATAGTCACCGACACCTCTTCTGTTTGAGAGAAATTGGGGGTGAGGTGCAAAGGCACTTCTATCAGCCCTAATTTCTATTTTGATGTGAAAGGGCCTTTACAGTTGCCAAAAATATAACTTTATTTTTTTTTTGTTATTAAAAACCCCAGCCCATTTGACAAAAAGTAACACAAAAGTAATGTAATGCATTACTTTCCATAAAAAGTAACTAGATAACGCAATTAGTTACTTTTTTATGCAGAAACGCAATATTGTAACGCATTACTATTAAAATACTGTTTAAAGTACTGTTTTAAATTACCCAATATTGTTGACAAATAACACTGTTTTATATACTGACCAAAGCTTTATGCGCATTTGGTGCTTGACGAGTTATAATTTTAGGCCTGGTTGTGTGTGTATATATATATATCCGGAAACTTTCCCAAAATTCCCAGAAGATTCCAAAAAATACTGGAAAGTTTCCACCTTTTTGCAACCCTACTCTGGGTGGACACAGTAATGGGCAGTGTACTCTGCTGAAGTGTCCTGTACCTGGTTCCCTGTAGTTGGTGTAACAGCGCTACTCTCAGGGGTGCTGGCGAGGGCCAGAGCGGTGGCCAGCTCACTTTGAGTGATGGGCCTGGGGTAGAGACCTGCACTCCCGCGGGACCCAACACAACAGAGTGCGGCGAGGTACAACTCTTGATGGGTGAGTGCGGGTGCGGGCGGGAAGAGACTCGTGTGTGTGCGGGATGCGGGAGAATAAAATGATTCGCGGGACTCCCGCAAAATAGAAATTATCTAAACATAAAGTGTCTAAAACATAAACATTTTTATTTATCTGTTGCACAAAAGCAAAAAGAACAACTAATAGCTATTAACATTAAAATGATTGACATGCGCAAGCTAGGCAGAGTTTCTATTTATAACACGTGTTTAAAGGGTTGCACAATGTAGCCAATCACAGACTCAGCTTGTTACAGAACCATTTCATGTACATTTCTTCGATGTACCAAAAAAAATCAATATAGATTACTTTTATGTGGGCTTTTGCGGGCGGGAGCGGGACAAAACATGAATGTCGCGGGCGGGAGCGGGACCAGATAAGATATATTTCTGCGGGAGCGGGCGGGCGCGGGACAGAATCTTGCGGGAGCGGGACTGAAAAATCCGTCCCGCGCAGGTCTCTAGTCTGGGGCCCACGGTGCCGTAATAACTGAGCGAAGCTGGCCTCATGCCGGCCAAACCACTAGCAAGAGTGGACGGCCCACTGCAATTCCCCTACAGATGATAAACTGGCTTAGGTTCCAATACTGTTAATGCACTATTCCTAATGAAGAACAGTAAATCATGACAAACCGACTGGAAGTCCTCCTCGTCATCAGACATGCCTTCAAAGAGGAAACCTCCTGTAGATTAAAAAAAGTTTATGCATAAAAACTTCTATGGATCACCAAAATGACCCATCAC